GGGAGGCTGAGGCAAGAGGATCCCCAGGAGTTCAAGGCTGGCCTGGGCTACATAGTGAGTTCAAGGCCAACCTGAACTGCACAGTGAGACCCTGTCTTAACAGATAAAAGACAGCAAAAAAAACAAAAACAAACAAACAAAAACAGATAAAAGACAAAGTAAATAAGGGAAAAAAAAAATATATATATATATATAAAATGAGGGTGGGGGGCGTAGTTCAGGGGTGAGTACCAGGCCAGCAGGCGTGAGGCCCTGGGTCCCCTTCCCAGCACCAAATGAACGAATGCCTTCTCACCTGCCCCCGCTGCAGGATGGAGCTGAGCCCCGATCTCATCTCAGCCTGCTTGGCGCTGGAGAAATACCTGGGCAACGCCAATGCGCTCACCGAGCGGGAACTGGTACGGCCAGCCCTTCCCCCCCAGGACCGCAGACCGGGTGGGTGGAGCCGGGGACAGACCCCAGGGGCCGAGCCTAGCCCCGGCCGGCCTCACACTGTCTGCGCATCCCTTTGGTACGCTTGTAGCTTTTCTTTTTGGCAGTACTGAGGTTGCACCCAGAACCTTTGCACTGCGCACCATCCTTAACCCTTTGTATGGGTCTCGCTCAATCACTAAGTTACCCAGGCTGGGCTGGAATTTGAGATCCTCCTGCCTCAGCCTCCTCACGCAGCCAGAGTCAAGGGTTTTCCACACTTCTCTCCAGGGCCCTTTTGGGGCAAGTTTGCCCCAGTTTGCTCCTGGGGGCCCCTGTGGGGTGGGGTGTCTGCCCTCCGTCCTGCCTCTTCATCCAGAAGGGCACGGTGCCCCCCTCACACCACCCGCCTTATCCGCCCAGAAAGTGGCCTACACCACCGTGCTGCAGGAGTGGCTGCGCCTGGCCTGCCGCAGCGACGCACACCCCGAGCTCGTGCGGCGCCACCTGGTGACCTTCCGGGCCGTGTCGGCGCGGCTGTTGGACTACGTGGTCAACATTGCCGACAGCAACGGCAACACCGCACTGCACTACTCCGTGTCACACGCCAACTTCCCCGTGGTGCGGCAGCTGCTGGACAGCGGTGAGCCGGGCCGGGGCCTGGCGAGGCGAGGCTCACAGTCTGACGGAGGAGACTCCGGCCAGTCTAAGGGCTGAGCAGACCAAGGCTAGCCTCCAACTCACAGAGACCCCCCTGCCTCAGCCTCCCAAGTGCCAGATGCTTGCACCGCCATGCCTGGCCCAGCTCTTAGTCTTACCCCTAAGTGTGGATGCCGCTTTGCCCTGCCCCCAAGCCTGTGGGTGAACCGGGGGGTGGGGGTGGGGTGCAGATCCCCATCCGAGGACGGGGCGTCAGGTCAGGCCAGGCTGTGGGAGGAGAGGGACTCGGCCTCCCTGTGGCCGCCTGAAGCAAGGCATCCGGTCCCACGGCAGAGCCGCAGCCCGGCTGGGGACTCACGCGCGCCCCGTCCCCGTGCAGGCGTCTGCCAGGTGGACAAGCAGAACCGCGCCGGCTACAGCCCTATCATGCTCACCGCCCTGGCCACGCTGAAGACGCAGGATGACATCGAGACCATCACTCAGCTCTTCCGGCTCGGAGACATCAATGCCAAAGCCAGCCAGGTACGGTGCATACCCCTGTACAAGGTAGAAGCCGTCTGCCAGCGCCTCGCTCCGTCCTGCTGTGTGGACAGGGAAGCTGAGGCTCAGAGAGGCAGTGTTGCTGCCTCAAGTTCAAAGTCAAGGAGCAGGATTTGAGCCACGCGTGGTGGTGCACACCTGTGGTCTCGGCACTCGGGAGGCTGAGGCAGGAGGATCGCTGTGAGTTCAGCGATCCTCCTGCCTGAGCTACACAGGAAGTTCAAAGCCAGCCTGAATTGCACAGCAAGACTCTGCCTTAAAACCACAGAGTGAGATTTGAACCCAGGAACTTGGTTCACAGCACCCCATGCTGGGGACTCAGATGTAGACAAGGAGGACTTGGTCTGTACTCTCCGGAGGTCCATGCACTGGGCCGGGGCTGCTGGAGCCTCGAGCTGTTCTGGCAGCGGCAGGGCGGGGACTTGGGTTCTGGGAGGACATGAGGGAGTTTCCTGGGGGCAGCATTGCACATGCCTGGTCTTAGAGTTTGCTGTGGTCTTACACCAAGCAGCAGAGGCTGGCCTGCTGTGGAGGTGAGTGGGAAGAGACAAGTGTCTGGGCATGAGAGGGGGCTAGCCAGGACCCAGCGCACAGTGGTGGGGGAAGAATGGTCCACAGCCTGGACACAGGAAGGAGCATCGCAGTGCTGTGATGGGGTAACACGGCGGGCACCGCTCAGAGTCCCTGCTCCCCTACCATGTGGGAGTGAACCCAGGGCCTTTGCACTGAGCTCCAGCGCCAGCCCTTTTTATGTTGAGTCACCAACTTCTAAGATACTAAATTGGCCAGGCTGAGCTTGAACTTGGAATCCTCCTGCCTCAGCCTCCCAAGTAACAACTAACTTCCTTTCCTCCTTCTTTTTTTCTTTTCCCGCTGCTGGTATTTAACCTGGGCCTCCTGCGCTTAGGCCAGCACTTTACCCCTGAGCAACATCCCCAGCCCAAGCTTCTTTACTTTTGAGACAGGGTCTTTCTGTGAAGCTCAGGCGGACCTTGAACTTGCTATGTACTCTAGGCTGGCCTCCAGTTCACAGTCCTCCTGCCTCAGCCTCCCAAGTGAGGGAATTATAGATATGCACTGCTGCACCCAGCTCCAAGTTCATTTTGTATTTATATATAT